GGAGATAACTGTTGATACCCAGGCAGGAGAGTACGGCGAAACCCTCCTGGACGCCTGCCTGGTGAATAGGGGGAGAGTACGGGAGTTTGTTCCTGGACACTCGGTCGACATGGAGAGTTCGGCGAATATTCCTGGACGCCTGTCGACTGAGAGAGGACAGAGCATCTCCTGGACGCCCCAGGTAAAGTACAGGAGAGTACGGGAGAAAACTACTGGTCGCCCGTTCGGAATGGAGAGTTCGGAGAGAATACCTGGACGCCATTCGAACGGGAGAGAACAGAGTTACTCCTGGACGCCTGGTTGACGAAAGGAAAAGATTAGATAGAGAGTAAAATATAGGGAAGGAAAGAGAAAAAGAGAGAGAGAGAGAGAGAGAGTTATGCATTTGTATGTTCTTTGCGTAAATAAAGAAAGAAAATTTGTAACTCTGTTAATTCTTGTATGCCTCTCCTAATATCCTTGAATAAATATTCCTATTTTCCAGATTTCCTGATTTCCTTTCGATTACCTTTGTCTGAGTATCCTATCCCGAGTAAACGATGGCTACAAGTTCCAAAATTTCAAGTTTCCAAATTTTCAATTTTATACATTTTCAAACATCTGAAATTCACAAATTTCGATATCATAAAAATCGTAAAGCATCAAATACCTAAGTTTCCAAATCTTCAAACTTATAAATACATAACTTCTATATCTACAAATTTGTAAAATTCAGTATTCTCAATTACTTAAATGTCCCAAATCCTGAAATCTCCATGTTCGTAGATTTCAATATTTATATTCAAATATGCAAATTTTTTTATCCCCTAAAACCATTAATTATCAAATTTTTAAGTCGTCAAATTCCAAATTTCTATGTCCTTAAATCCCTGGGTTTACATATGTGTTTACTCGAAAAAATTCAAGAAATCCACAAATTTCCACAATCTTAAATCCCTAAGTTTGACAAATTTCTATGTTCGAAATCCCTAAATCATCAAATCCCTATATCCTAAAATCCTAGATCACCAAAACCCTACAATATCAAACGCCTAGATCATCAAATTTCTAGACCTCCAAATTCCTATCCAAATTCCTAGATCCACAAATTGCAATGTCACTAAATTCCGCTGTTCCGATATCTCTAAATCCACAAACTGATATCTTCGCAAATTCCTAGTGTGTCAAATCCATGAATCCACAAATTGCATGTTTCAACATTTTTAGGGCACCGAATCCCTAGATTCCACTATCCATAGATGCTCAAATCGTCAAATGACTATATTCCAAATTCCTAAGCCTCCAATCCTCTAAATCCCCAAATTCCTGTATTTCCAAACCTCTAGTTTCGCAAACTGCTATGTCCGTAATTTCCTACGTCACCAGATCCTTAAATGCATTGAAGTGGTTGCGTGGATAAAAAACGAGATATTTGCGTAAACTAATTTATTAACGTAAATACTTAAACTATCCTTATACACTAAAACTATAAAGTATAATATGTACAAATGTTTGCAGACGTGAGTTGTTGCGACGGAATTTCGGTGTTTTCGGAGTGCGGCCTGTACGAGGTGCGATCATTAAGTTCCGGGATTGTGTCCGCTGTGATTAAATGGATCACACGATTGACATGCGCTCGTAGAACATAAGAATAACAATCTTCGAGACATATGACACGAAGTTTGGAAGTGATATCTTCATTCAATCCTGTGTTATATAAGATCATGGTAGTATACGTACGCTCTCCTTGGCGAAATCACGATGGACTCCAAATTGGAAGGAAAGGACATAAAAAAAAGAAAGAAACATGGAAAATGGTCGTCCTTCCTCACCCTCCGTATTCACCAGATTTGGAACCCTGTTATTGCTTCTTGTTTCCAAAATGAAATTAAAGCTCAAAGGTCGCCGATTTGACACGGTGGACGAGATTCAACGCGAATCGCAGCAGGTGCTTGACACGCTTCAACAAAAAGACTTTTAGGAAGCTTTCCAAAAATGGCAGAGGCTCTGGAATCGGTGCATAGCTGCACAAGGAGACTACTTTGAAGGGGATAGTAGCCAAATTTGAAACAGGTGACCTTATCTGCATATACGGGACAAGTCCCGGAACTTAATAATCGCACCTCGTATATTAACTGACTGATTGACGCGGGAGTCGGCCGATTTTTATAGTCACTTGTTTTCGCGAATGTTCTTGTTCGCGAATGTTCTTGCTCGCGATTGTTTTTGCTCGTGAATGTTCTTGCTCGCGAATGTTTTCGCGCGCACCTCGTCGCGAATGTTCTCGCTCGCACCGTGTCGCGAATATTTGCGTGCATCTAGATTTTTCGGCGGCGCGGCAGTCCGCCACAGTATCAACTGTTATGTTCCGAATCCCTTCAAGGTAAAATATCTAGATTTCCATATTCATAGATGTCTGAAAGGCCTCGAATTACCAGTTCCTGAAATGCTTGTATTTCCAAGTTCTGACATTCCCAAATTCTTTCACATCCTCAAATTCCTATATTTCCAAATTCTTTTACGCCCAAGTTTCACTACCAAGTTTTCATGTTCTCAAATTCTTAGACCACAAAGTTCCTGTATTCCCATATTCGTAAATCCTTGAATTCGAAAGTATCTAAATCATAAGTTCTTCATATACTTATGTTTTCAAATTTTTATGTCCTCAAATTCTAACAACTCAAATTCTCAAGACCACCAAATTTCTAGATTTCCATATACGTAGATCCCCAAATTTCTATGTCCCAAAATTCGGAACTCACACTTAATTTTTTCTAGTTCTAGAAATCCCTAAAAATCGACAAATTGGGAACCTCTTCCTAGATCTCCAAATTCCAGAATTCTTAAGTCTTAAAATTGTTAGATCCCCAAATTCAGACGTTCTTAAATTCCAAACATCCCAAATTTTTAGATTTTCATATACGTAGATTCCCAAATCCTTATGTCCCAAAATTCTGAACCCAGCCTTAATTTTGTCCATTTCCAGGAATCCCTAAAAATCAACGAATTGGAGGTCTTTTCCAAGGTCCCTAAATTCCCAAATTGCTAAGACTTAAAACTGTTAAATCCCCAAATTCCAAAAATTCCAAATTGGGACGTCCTTAAATTTTAAACATCCCAAACTTCAAAACTACCAAATTTCTAGATTATTATACACATAGATCCTCAAATTCCTATGTCCCGAAATTCTGAACGCACCCTCAATTTTTTTCCATTTCCAAAAATCCCTAAAAATCAACGAATTGGAGATCTCTTCCTAGATCCCTAAATCTCCAAAGTCAAATTGCCTCCTAAGCCTAATCGTCCCCTAAGCCAAAATCTCCAAGTCCTTAAATTCCAAATTTCAAGATTCCCAAAATCTTAACCTATCTCCCAACCCACTCTCCTCCTTCTTCGCCAATATTTCCCCTAGGAAATGCAGATTTGCTGTTGACTGTACATACCGTTGCTGTTTCTGCAAACACAGGGCTGTCTACTCGATTTGTTCTCCAATTTCACCGGCTGGCCTTGAGTTGGCAGGAAGGCCTCTCGCTTCTTTCCACTGGATTGGACAACCTGGTTGCCAGTTTGCCCACCCTGCATCACCATCGTGCTCGTGGTGGAGCTCGTCGGGCACGAGGTCCCGTTCACACTGACCGAACATCCTGTAGACGAACCTGTCGGTGACTGATATTCCTGCAGAAGTACTCCTGTCGTTGGCACCACGTTTCCAGTTGAATTTGGAGACGAGAAACTGTTGATCGTCAACGTGGGTGCGTTTCCGGTCACTAGCGACAGTTGCGGTGAGAAAGTGTTCTGATGAAGTCCTCCTGTTAACAGAATTCATTCACGTCGGTGAAATTTAGTGAATCAAACTTGTTTATTCAAGGTATTTTATAAATATTTGTGTAATTTATTATATATACATATCTTGATATATTACTTGTTCATATAAATTGTTCATATAATGTGTATGTATATGTATATATAAATTAATGCATATGTATATATTTATATTACATATTTCTAAAGTGGTTGATTGTAAATATACATGTAGAGTGTCCCAATTTATTACAGTCAATATTTATTAACATATTCTACTGATAAAAATAAAAAAGAACTTTGTATTAGCAAATGATTTCAGACACTTTATAAAAAAGTTATTATATACATATATATAATTATAAAATTTTGCATCATGTTATATATAATTTTGTAATTGTTAAATGATTAATATTTATTTTCATTTCTCTCAAAATCTACCCTCTGTAATTACATATTGACTCTAAGTTATTGTGTAACTCCAAGCTATAAATAATATCAATATAAAAAATGTTCAGCTGCATAATAAATTTAAATATGAGAACTGAATATGACAATTTACACTGCAAATTCAAGTTCACCAACAGAAAATAAAAAATTCTCCTTTCAGACACTTTTCATTGTAAATTTATTTTGGAACGATTTTGAAAAAATAATTTCGAAACTGTAAATCGAATTTTTCAAATGGAAATTAATTCTTTTTATCGTCGATTTGAATTTCTCATTAAAAATAGCAGAAGAAATTAAAAAAATTTAATTATACTGAATTCGACTGTTTCAGTAATACAAATTTTCAGAATATAATTTAGAAGAATTTTTGTTAACGTAAGAAGTTAAACATTAACATATTTTGAAATAATCGTGGAAGTATGATGAAAAACTGAATTTTGAATCGATTTTTGAGCGAGCTGGCGCATATTACTTCAATCTAAATGCAAATATCTCCAATCGATAAAGCATACTCGATTTCCTTACCGGGATTTTTTGAATTTTACATAAAAACTACTTTCTTCTATTTTCAAAATGGCGAACGGGTTGAGGACACTGCACAAATCCTCCATAAAACTTTACTGATGAAAGTAATAACAAAAACAAAAGACCAATATCTGGTTTTTGCAAACATGTCTTAATGCTTAGTAATTTATTGATATATTTGTTTGAAAATGTATGTAATTCTCTATTATTTTATCGAACCTTTTTAACGTTAACGAAGTAAATGACCCCAAAAGAAAGCGTATATAAAATTAACAAATTACCGTAAAATGTACATAAAAAAAAATGTTGTAAGATTTAATATATCACCGTTTGACATATATGTCAAAATTTAATATTTTTACAAAGGCATCGATTGCGATGCAACAAAAATATTGCAAATTTTTCTTCGTTGAATATAAGATTAAATTTCTATTTTACCACGAGAAATGACATATTTATAATAAATTATCACTATTTCTACCATCATTTCATGTATTCCTATTTCCACCAAAAGGGGTCGTTTGACACCTTATCGTTTGAATGCAAATAATTGCCAAAACTGTTGGGATTGCAAATTATCAGTTAAATATAGATAATTTGAGGAATACATATATTTATTGATACATTGATGTGTTTTTATTAGAAATTATTTAATCAGGTTGTAAATTCTAGCTTAATTCATCAATCTACAAAGTATAAATAAAACGGTGTTTATTAAAATTCAACATGCCGGGAAATTAGCGAATATCAAAGTTATGCCGCTACTCCTGTATTTTCCGTTACAACTGAAATCGGAATTCTCTTAACTGATTATAATTGATATGCTGCAAAATGGTGTTGATATTTATATGTAAAATGGAGTAAAATTGGGCACTGTCATGAAATCCTTAAAGTGTCCAAAGACCTCATGGTAGAAATAAGTATACCATATGCACATTTTTAGATCTAGTATGAGCTGGAAGAAAAGGACATCGCTGAATTAATTTAGCAACTATTGAAAAGTCAAAAAATTAATTGTGAAGAAAAGATTCAACTTAGAGAATAATTTTAAGCCAAACTTTGGAAGGTGTTTTCTGACACCTCTTGGTAAAAGTAGTATTAATAATTTTACATAATAATTAATAAAATCTGTGCCACAATCACCGTGAAGCAATTATATTAATGCAACTAAAAACAAATGTAACTGAAGAGTTTAATTAACTATAATTATAACGCAATTCAGGAACATAATATAATAAAAGTGTAAAACGAAATCGGATAAAATATTACTCGAGGATCTTTCATGTCGATAAATGTTTCTGATAATCCTGCGAAAGTTAAAATTAATTGTACTTATTTATTATGATAGATTACGATGATTGTACAAATGATATATGTAGAGTTAATACGAAATACAAACAGTTGTTGATTGTCAGGGTAAATCTACTCAAGAGGAAACATTCAATTAGCCAACAATCGCATAACGATTAAAGTCTTTTTAACTTGTTGAATACATAACTTTCATTCGGTGATTTGTTACGGAAACGCGATCGATAAAGTTCAACAAGAAAAGTTGGTCGACTTTGTGATCTGTGTTCGAAATTAAAGAGATAGTACTTTATTCTTGATTCGTTTTAAAAATTTTGAAGGAACATTTAGTCTTGTACATATTTTTATTTTAGTGTCAATAGGAAAAAATAAATAAAGAGTATGTATACTGGTGTAATGTCTTGTAAAAAAAAAAATAATAAATAAAATAATAATAAAAAAGAATATTGTATACAATTTTATAATTTGGTATATATCCTTACCAAAGCGAGTACTCGAAGTAATAGAAAATAAAGGCGGATTATTATTATTATCATATCATTATTAACTTTGTATTAATTGCAATGTAACTTTCTTTTTTATGAAAATATATGTATAAATTCTGTGAATGTGCTATCATTTCGCCGGCACTATTTGTATATTTCTTCTGCTTGCTCAAAAACATAGCAAGGTCAACCATATTTACTAAGAAGTTCCTTCTCTCTGCCATGTAACAATTAGAATGGTATGTATTACATTAAAAAATTCTAAGTCGTTTTCAAGAAATTAAAGATAGCACACATGTGCTATCTTTTTGTCCAAGGGTGTATGTAAATATGGTTAAAATAGCTAATTGACATTGGTATAATTTCATACTAACTATTTTTGTGCAATTTTATCGCAACTGTATCGTAACACAATATCGTAACTATAATCACTGAAAGTATTTCGATGTGGACTTTTAGTTAAAAGTCGACATGATACAAAATCAATAGAAAATCGATAGGGAATTACTTCGAACGACCTCGTAAAATTTTTTAGCTCAAACTTTAAAAGGACTTATTTTAGGATTTGTTTGAAGTTCGTAAAAATAAATAGCCACTTTCGTTTTAAATCATTTTTAATTATTTTAAAAGAAATAAAAGTTTCATTCGTGTCACAAAATGGCGAATACCGTGAAACATTGCTATGGCAAGTATACACAAAATGGACGATATTAACTAATGCAAACTCCGTGGGTTTATAAAATTTTAAAAGCAAATTTAGTTTGAACAACAGTACTTCTTAAAAAAATATTTTTAAAATGTTTTTGAATATGAAACATATACGTAATCATGACAGAACTTTTTTACGCCATACTACTTTTTAGAGAGTGAAAGTGAATGAACAAAAAAAAAAAACAATTTTTTTGAGTCATCCTATTATTCATACATATAAATGTCAATGACAATATCAATGTCAATAACATTGACATTTAACGCTTTCACGTCGTGTGACTCACTTTCATAGCAAGTCTAACCGCTTATTATGAATGACACATATTTGCGTCAGATCGAAAACTGTTATTCGTAGTGGATGAACAGTATTTACGTCACATCGAAAATTGTTACATGTTGTAGATGACGCAAATTGAAATAAGTTTGCGAATTCTTTTGGACTTACCGAGTTTGGAAAACTTTGAAACTAGGAAACTTTGAAGCTTGTAAATTTAGAGAAGTATGAAGCTAGGATATTGGAAATTTGGAAATATAGAGCTGCGGAAATAGCGAAATTTAGTAATTCTGAATTTAAAGAAATTAAGAATTTTGATATTAAAAAACTTTTCAGTTTTTAAATTTGTAAGTTTTGAGAATTTGAAGCTTTTTAAATTTGTAAGTTTGAGAATTTAAAGATTTTTAAATTTGGAAGATTGAAAATTTGAAAATAGTAGGTTAGAAAAAATGGACTTGTCTTACTTATAAAATGAACGGCTCAAGTATTGAGACTATACACACTGAATGGTATCTATGTAAAGGTATTTTGCTAATTTCAAAGTGAACAGATATTTTATTATTAATAAAGCCCCTATTCAATTGTTAATTACTGGAACTCCTTTGAGCACTAGAGCATTTACGTATCTGTTTATTAGTTCAAACATACAAACTAAGTAGAAATGTTATCATTAATAAAATTTCTACTCAACTGTTAATAACGGGACTCCTTTGAACAGTAGAACATTTACGTATCTGTTTATTAGGTCAAACGTTTAAGTTAAACAGAAATGTTATTATTAACCTTTTGCACTCGAAGTACTTTTACAATTGGTAGCAAGCTTAAAATAGTTTTGTGAAGACTTTTGCGTTATTTCTTTATCATTAATTACTATTACTGCCTGCTTTGCTGTATTTATACACATATCACATGTATAATATAATACTACTTTGGTTAAAAAGCACCTACTTCAAATTGTAATAAATCGAATGACGAGTGAGTCACCTTTCAAGTGTAAAGGGTTAATAAAATTCCTACTCAATAGTCACTGACCAGTGCTCTTCTGCATTAAAAAATTTGCGTATCTCTTTATAATCGAAATAAGACTAAAGAAAAAGACGGAATTACTCACCATGATGAAGATGATGAAGACCGGTCAAATTGAGTGTGTGTTGCGTGTGCTGTGTGTGTTGAGTGTGCTGTGCGTGATGTAGACTACCAACATTCACGCCAACACCCTGAAGACTGAGCGCCTGTTGACCAGGAGGAGCCAAATTGGCTAAATTCTTAGCCAACAGCTCGAGCTGCGTCACCGGAACAGGACTATAGGGTGATCCTGGGGGTGGTGTGGGAGCACCCCAGGTGTAACCACCCACGCCAACCCCGACAGCAGCGGAGAACACGCTCTCTGAAACTACAGAATCCGACGATTAATCGATCTGTTCCTCTTTTCCAGTCACAATGGCTGACGCTGAAACGAACCCAATTATTATCTCGATGTACAGCATCCTGTCATTTCGTCATGACTATCCAATATTTTCTACAAATTTCTATTTCAAGAGAATAAAATAAATTTCTTTTTAAAACGAATAAAATTGATTTTTATTTGGAACGAATGAAATCGATTTCTGTTTAAAGAGAATAAAATTGTTTTCTATTTGATCGAAGGATAATATGGATGTCAATAGAAATCTATGCTTTTTCTATTTTATTCGTGCAACAATTTTGGATGACTTTTATAGAATGGTGCAGCAATGTAGTAGATTTTTGAAATACATTCTGCGAATACTCTCTGTGTTACATACAGCTCTGTGTATACTATATGTGGCAGGGAGATGATAAAAATTGGGATTTGATCAAATCCCTAAGGTATACAATCAATTCAAGATGTTAAAATAACAACTTTGTAACTCCAGAGGTCACAAGTGAACAACTATTTTAATAAAAATGAATAAATATTATTTATTAATTACACTTACGAAAAATATTTAAAATTTCACTAAAAATATCCTTTTTATTTTCAGAAATATCAGCTTAAGTATTTCTATTGTTAATTAATTTCGAATAATTTGTGTTTCAACGACTATTGTATTAATCCTGCAATAATGCATGGTTTAGATAAATACTTTTAATACGTAAAAAATATTATTTCATCTTTTTACTAAAACAGTTAAGGGATTTGATCAAATCTTACTTTGTTCAGGGAAATCCCACAGGAGTGTTATTGTAACATCTTCCGTGAATCATATATTCCATGATATACCTCAGGGTTTTGTCAAATCCCTACTTTCGTTACTTCCCTGCGACATACGAGGTGTGACACAAAAGTAACGAGACTAGGTCTGTAGCTTGAAAAAACAATGGAATTGGCAGGAATTGTTTTTGTGGCATCATCCCACATACCTCCTCTATCTATGTTGCCAATTTCGATTGAATCGGTCATACCATTTGAAAGTATTGCGTTATTTAGTGAACACGTGCAACTGCATTCTGCCGGAAAAATGTCTAACGTAAAAACCCAACAGCGAATAAACATCAAGTTTCTTGTAAAATTTGTTAAAATCTGTTGTAACATGTGATGAGACATGGATTTTTACCTATGACCCAGAAAGTAAGCGCCAGTCAATGGAGTGGAAGTCTCCAGGATCCCCAAAACCCA